TTTGAGAGTCAGCCTGTGCTTTGAAGCTTTGAAGCCAGGCATTGACTTCTCTCTGCCTATGAAAGCCCTAGAGGGCGTCTTCTTCTGATAGAAGTCTATATAAGTTTATGTTGTCTACATTGTTGTTGTTTTTTTTTTTTTTTTGAGATGGAGTCTCACTCTGTCACCTGGGCTGAAGTGCAGTGGTATGATCTCTGCTTACTGCAAGCTCTGCCTCCCGAGTTCACACCGTTCTCCTGCCTCAGCCTCCCGAGTAGCTGGAACTACAGGTGCCCACCACCACGCCTGGCTAATTTTTTTGTATTTTTACTGGAGACTGGGTTTCACCATGTTAGCCAGGATGGTCTCAATCTCCTGACCTGGTGATCTGCCTGCCTCGGCCTCCCAAAGTGCTAGGATTACAGGTATGAGCCACCATGCCCGGCCTATGTTGTCCACATTGAAAACCTATGGTTTACTGTAGCTACCTTCATGGATTATCTTTGCTAGATCTTCTGGATGACTTGCTGCAGCTTCTCCACTGGCTCTTGCTGTTTTACCTTGCACTTCTAAGTGGAGACAGCTTCTTTCCATAAACCTCATGAACCAAACTCTGCTAACTTCAGGCATTTTGTCTGCAACTTTTTTTTTTTTTTTTTTTTTTTAACCTCTCTCAGTCTTCATAGAATTGAAGACAGTTAAGACCTTACTCTGGAATGGGCTTTGGCTTAAGAAAGTGTTGTGGCTGGTTTGATCTTCAATTAAGACCACTAAAACATTCTCCACATCAGAAATAAGGCTATTTTTCTAGACGTTTGTGTGCTCACTGGAGTTGTACTTCTAATTTCCTTCAATAACTTTTCCTTTGCTTTAATAGCCTGGATAACTGTTTGACTTCACTTTTGACCTCGCTCAACTTTTGACGTGTCTCTCTCACTCAGCTGAATCATTTCTAGCTTTTGATTTAAAGTGACAGACATACTACCTACTCTTCCTGTCACTTGAACACTTAGAGGTCATTGCAAAGTTATTAATTGACCTAATTTCAATATGGTCACATCTCAGAGAACAGAGAGGCCCAATAAAAGGAAGAAAGACAGGCGAATAATGGGTCAGTGGTTCAATCAGACACAAATTTATTAAGTTGACCATCATGTGGGTGTCGTCCATGCTGTCCCAAAATGATTACAATAGTAACATCAAAGATTGCTGACCATAGATCACTATAGCAGATTAATAATAATGAAATGGTTTGAAATACTACAAAATTTTCTGAAATGTAACACGGACTCATTGAGTGAGCACAGGCTGTTGGAAACATTGTTCCTATAGACTTGCTGCATTCAGGGTCGTCACAAACCTTCTATTTGTAAAAAATGCAATAAAACGGGGTGTACCTATACTATTATTGTCATGATTTTTGTTCCCAGTTAAAGAAAATGAGGTTTAGCATGGCAGCAATTTACGCTAGGTTGTACAGCTAATACATGCTATTACAATAGCTAATACATGCAATAACGATAGCTAATACATAGAATCAGGGTGTGACTCGCAGTCCTTTCTTTGGCTCTCAGTCTTGGAGTGGTGGCCACTGGGATACACCAATGCTTCCCACTATGTGGGTGAAAATTGGAAATAATATAAATGTTCAACAATAGAGGTACATGTTGTGAATATGGCACACTCACATTGTGAAATACTTGTGAGAAATCACACAATAGAAAAGTATTTATCAGCCGGGTGTGGTGGCTCATGCCTGGAATCCCAGCACTTTGGGAGGCCAAGGCAGGCAGAGCACTTGAGATCAGGAGTTCAAGACCAGCCTGGCCAACATAGTGAAACCCTGTCTCTACTAAAAATACAAAAAATTTAGCCAGGCGTGCGCCACCATGCCCTGTTGTCCCAGCTACTCAGGAGGCTGAGGCAGGAGAATCACTTGAACCTGGGAGGCAGAGGTTGCTGTAAGCCAAGATTGTACCACTGCACTCTAGCCTGGGTGACACAGCAAGACTGTCTCAAAAAAAAAAAAAAAAAAAAAAAAAAGAAAAGTATTTGTCAACATGAGAAATGTACTTAGAAATTAGTGAAGAAAAACAGGCTAGCAAAACAATCTGCAGTGTGATACCATTTGAGTTAAAAATTTGAGTCATATTAATTTGAAATACTTCCACTAGAAGTGAAAACCAAGTTTCACTGTATGTGCAAAATTTAAAATAAACAGTCCACCAAACTAAAAACTAATTTCAAAGCCTGCAGGCCCCAAGGAATTGTAAGCTGGATGCTTTAGCATGCGGCTACGATATTTTGCTGGTGAACAGGATACTCCTTTGTCATTGGCTTAAGAAGCACAAAGGTGCAACAGAACTTCAGATAGTCATTGTGGTTTTTCTCATATTTGTTAGTTCAGCATTCACTGTTGCTATAATTTAGAGTCTAATCTTACGTCTCAATCACTGCCACTCGAGCACTCACTGGCTGAGAAATGCATCCTTAAACAATAGCTTTAATATGGGGGCTGGATCTAATAAGCCTTGAAATAACATAAAAATTGCTGTAATTGTTTATTTAACAGAGAACACGGAAGTAAACATGTGAGAGAGAATGTCAATGGAAGGAAAAGCACATTCAAGCAGGTTTACCTTTGTCTAAGGACCTTGACCAAACTTCAGCCAAGCTCCTCTGGCCCAAGAGGGAAGAGCTTAGCCAAGTCTTCCCTTTGGCCTGCTGAGCACACCTGTGATGTCCAATCAAACTCATGTGCTTCCACTTTTGGTATCTAATCCAGAGTTCCTTTTTCCTCTCCATCCTTGATACTTACCCAAGTTCCTCTTAGTAATTTTCCACCCGTGGACCCTCTCATCTGCCTATTGGCTGTAAGTCCCTATGTGCCCCTGTTGTTTTTGGAATTGAGTTCAGTCCCTCCCCTTTTGCAACATTCTATCCCTATTGCAGTAGTCTTGAGTAAAATCTGTTTTGTCACTTTTAACAAGTGACTGGTGAACAATTTTTCTTTACCACCTGTAACCTTACAAAAATTGTCAAAAATCCCAGCATGGACAGTGGGGAAAATAGAGAAGTACTCGGAAGCTGTTATTAAAGTCATCACCTTTGCTAATAACAGTGAATTTAGAGTATTCCTAAGCACTTAACTCCCATGGGAAAATTTGTCTTAAATTTGTCCTGGAGCCAGCTTGTAAATTTGAATCCTGTTTCTGCAATTACTGGTCATGTGATCTTGGTCACGTCACATTGCCTCTCTGAGCTTCCATTTCCTCATCTACAAAACTTTGGAGTATGAAAAAGATTTGAAAATGCATCCCTTGGCTAGCATGCAATTGTCTCTCACAAATAGAAAATATTCTAGAGGCTGGGAGCAGTGGCTTACGCCCATAATCCCAGCACTTTGAGAGGCTGAGGTGGGCAAATCACCTGAGGTCAGGAGTTCAAGATCAGCTTGGCCAACGTGGTGAAACCCCGTCTCTACTAAAAATACAAAAATTAGCTAGGTGTGGTCGTGGGCGCTTATAATCCCAGCTACTTGGGAGGCTGAGGCAGGAGAATCACTTGAACCCAGGAGGTGGAGGTTGCGGTGAGCCAAGATCGTGCCATTGTACTTCAGCCTGGGCAACAAGAGTGAAACTCCATCTCAAAATAAATAAATAAATAAATAAAATAAAAACAAAATTCTAAAAGGACACGTGCCAGAATTTTGGGTGGTGGGATTCTAGGCTTATCTTTTTCTTCGTGTTGTTCACTGTCCGGTTTTGAAATACAATTCATACTTATTTACAGATTCCACATATGCAAATTCTCCTACTTGCTAAAATTTATTTGTAACCCCTAATTTCAATAAATATCAATACTCATGGTGCTTTTGAGACCATTCAGGGACGTACATATGTGTAGCGTGGTGGAGAATGTGCTTGTCCAATGCACATGTTCCCAGCTGAGGTTGAACAAGGGGACACGCTGCCTTCTTGCTCCAGCTCTCATAATGTAATCATGTGTCCTTCTCTCCGTCTATTTAGTGCCACATCCTTCACATCTTTATGTTTTTCTTCTTGGTGGTGATCTTGCTGTTTAAAATGACTCCCAAATGTGGTGCAGAAGTGCTATCTAGCCATCCTATGCACAAGACGTGCCTTATGGAGAAAATACATGTGTTAGAGAAGTTTCCCCAGACAGGAGTTACAGTGCTGTTGGCTGTGAGGTCAGTGTTAATGAATCAACATATATTAAATAAAGTGTCTTTTAAAAACATAAAAAGTTTATGTATTGATTTGTTGACAAAAAATATTGGGATCACTCTTCAGGAAACTGTATTTCCCCTAGAAGAAATGGTTCAGTATTCACTAATTCAGAGTGCATAGCCATGGCAACTGTTGTAGATAGAATACAGCTACCAGCAATAATGAGAATTGCCTGCATGTTACTTATGCAAGGAGGGAGGAGAGCATTAGTTTTGAAAAGCAGATGGTGCATAAAGGTGCAGTTCCATCTGTGACAGAATCAAGAGGAGGGAAGAAGACTAACTTTGAGGGGGCATACTGCCCTAGGCTCTGAGCTGAGGCTTGTGTATGTTGTGTGACTGTGCCTTCTTGCCCTCCTGAGAGGGCATCACAGTTTCATTTCCCAGATGAGGAGAAGGGCTCTAAGGGGCAAGCTTGTCTCTTTCAAAGGAGGTAAGGGGCAGAGGCAGGATTTGGACCAGTGTTTGTCATTAAAGTTGGAATCGATCATGAAAATAAATAAATAGCTTCTAGTCTATTGAAATAAAGAGACATTGTGTTGTTCCCAGTTGAATAGCTGGTGAGGAGAAGCAGCTTTTGCTTCAGTCCCAAATCCAGCGCCATTTCTACCTCGTACAGACATGGAGGGAAAACGCTCCTTACTTGGAATCCAAGTGGCCTCCAGGGTATGCCGTCACTGCCCAGATGGCCCTGCCCACGGCTTGCTTGGAATCCCCACCTTCCAGTTCAGAAGTCACAAAGTTTGCTCAATGAATCATTTTCTTCCTGCAGTTTTCACCTCTGACAGAGCCCAGGCACCATGAACACAAGTGAATTCCGAAGGAGGGGGAAGGAGATGGTGGATTACGTGGCCAACTACATGGAAGGCATCGAGGGACGCCAGGTCTACCCTGACGTGGAGCCTGGGTACCTGCGGCCGCTGATCCCTGACTCTGCCCCCCAGGAGCCAGACACATTTGAGGACATCGTCAACGACATTGAGAAGATAATCATGCCAGGGGTAAGTGTGTACCCAGGGTCAGAAAGCAGGAGGGCTAGCACTCACATAGCACCTACTGGGCTCTGAGCAATTCACATGCGTTGTTTCAAAGAATCCCTATGGCAGTCAGATTGGAACGAAACTTTTGTCATTTCTATTTTACTACTGAGGAAACTGAGGCTCAGAGAGGTTAGGTGGTCCACCTCAGGTCACACAGCTAGTACATGATGAAGCCAGGATTACAACCCAAATCTGCAGGCTCCAAGGGCAGTGAGGCTCTTTCCCCCAGGTTCCCTGAGACTCAGTCCCTGCCCAGAGACACCTGGTACACAGAGCATGTCCTCCTATACATTAGGAAGCGACACCCTGGTGGCTGCTTTCAGATAAGTCAATTGCCCTAAATAAAGCACACTTCCACCATCCTTGGGTTTAGCAATAGGTAATTAGCATATGTGGAAGAAACGTTTTATTTAGTTTATTTGAGAGTGGGCAGCATGGTACCGCCCACCAAGCCAACCCTCTTTCTCTGAAGCCAGTAGGCCTGGGGTACACAGAGGGCAGAAATCAACGGGACTGGTCACTGTCTCTGATGCTCACTCACAGGGCAGCAGTGCTGGAGTTCAGAGAAACTTCCCTTCAGCTTTATGCTTCCACAGTCGATTTTCTCTGCCAAGGAGTTCACCTAAAAGCCTGTTGGTTAAAGTGGCTCTGGCCTAGTCAGAGTCCGGGTGGGAGTTGCAGCCTGGCCAGTTTCTAGCTCAGGAATGTTTATGAGGGTGGCCAGACCTGCCCTTCCATGCAACAATGTGCAGAGTCCAGGCGGGGAAAATCTCCGTGGGCTCCACTGGCTGATCGCTGCCACCATCCAGCATGTCTGTGGTTATAAAGCCCATGAGCAACGACATGTGATTTTCATAGAAGAGGGGTCTGGGCCCGTCAAGACCCACTCCCTCAATTCAGACAGAATACCAAGGCCCTGGGAAGGTATAAGGTCAGCCAAGGTTATAGGACACTGATCATGGGACAAGGCTAGGCCTCAGGCCCTGGACCTCATGGACCAGTTTCTCAGTAGCTGAGCGCCATTCTCACCCCACTGCTCACATTTCTTCTTCCAGGGGATTCTCACTTGGCATTTATGCTTTGAGCGAAGAACAGGATTCAGGTTCTTGCTAGAAATTGTGCAAATACACTAAGCTGTTCAGCATAAAACCCTTCGGGAGAGGTGTGGCTAAATGTCAGGCAGTGGGGAGTACAGGAGACTGGGGGAGGATTTGAAGTCTTTCTGCTTCCTTCTGTGGAGGTATTCACTGTGCAGAGCTGAGTTGGGAAATGCACAGGCGTTGGGCAGGGCCCCTGGGTGGAAGCTGCAGCCCACCAGCTGCTGGCTGTGTGATCACAGGAAATCAGGTGAACTCTTGGGCCGTGAGCAGGGCAAGTGCAGGCCCAGCCATTTCAAAAGTTGCTGTGAATATCAGCTGACAGTGAAGCAAAAGAGCACACATCTGTCCCTAATCAAGAATCGCTTCTGTCCTTTTCCAGCCCAGGGGCCACAGGGAGGCGAGAGAGACAAAGGCACATGGGCCCTCCAGGTGCTGAGGGGTGAGTCAGGCAAAGGACTGCTCTTACTCTCCTGGGCCCTGGGCGCTTTGTCTTTGTCAGCTCCTTCCTCCCTAGAAATATGGAAAATTATGCTTTACAAATGCATTGGCATAAAGATGAATATATTAACATAGATTTTTTTCTTTAACCTGAAAGTTCACTTTTTTTTTTCCTCTTGATTATAGAAGAAATTTATGCATTTTTTTTCAGCCCCTAACAGTGTTGTAGGCCTGGACCTGCTGTGCTGAAGGCATCACAACCTGTGCAGCTCCTCTCAGCCTCTCAGCCTCATCACCAACCTCCTGAGCCCCCAAGCCTAGACTGTGCTAGCTCCCTCTCTCCACCACTCCCCAAGCCCTGGCAGACCTGGGGTGGCCGTGGTTGTTAAATAAACCTTGCTGAACACTCCTAGTTCTTGGTGAGCTCTCTCAGTTGGCTGCCTTCACAATCAGGGGGTCGCTCATGCTACATCTTAGACAACATATATTTAATGATGAGTGCTATTGAGAAAGAAATGATTGCATCTCTTCCCAGATTGTAAGAGATATCTTACAGATATCTTAGTTTGGACTGCTATAACAAAGGACATAGACTGGGAGGCTTAAACAACATTGATTTCTCACAGTTCTAGAGACAGGAAGTCTGAGATCAAGATATTAGGTTCAGGTGAGGGCTCTCTTCCTGGTTTACAGACAGCCGTCTTCCCAGTGTGTACTCACATAACCAAAGGGTAGCCAGCTCTCTGCCTTTTCTTATGAGGGCACTAATCCCATTGTGGGGGGGCACTAATCTTATTAAGGGGACCCCACCCTCATGCCCTAATCACCTCCCAAAGACGCCGTCTCTTAATGCCGTCACTTTGGGGGTTAGGATTTTGACACGAATGGTATGCAGATACAATCAGAGCAGAGCAGCCAAGCCCGGTAGAGCATATCTTCAGCAGCTGGGATTCTGAGCCAGGCCTGGAGGAAGCACCAGAGCACGTGCTTTCATTTTATCTGAGGGTATGACAGGGCCCAGAGAGGTGCAGTTAGTTGTCTGGAGTAACCCAGCAAATCAGGGTTCCTGCTGGACTTGCAGTCCAGGGGTGCTCCCAACACCATGCTGTTCCCGAAGGCAGGATGGACATGGAGCACTAGCAGGGGACAACGGGGAACAGGGCAACGTCTCTCAGACACCAGTTCGTGGTCACAGCCTGAGAGGGGTCTGAATGGCAGTCTCTGTACCTTCTCCCTGCACAGGGGCTGAGGGTTGTCCTGAGGGCTTTAGCACTCTATTCTGTTCCTTCAGGGCAGGTACCGCCTTGGCAGGAACAAATTAAAGATGCAAAGACTAGGCTACACCTGCTCCTTCTCTGTCCTCCCCTGATCGTCCTCCCAGACTCTGAGATGTTTGAGGCTCGTGCCTTGTTACCATTGCCAGACCTTCCCAGCCCAGAGAGGCTCCCTGCCTGCGTGTCCACCACAACCCTCGCCTCCTGGATCCCAGAACCCCCTGTCCCCAAGCATACCACATGGAGCTGTCACTGCCTCTTATGGATCTCCTCCCCAGCCCACATGAGCTTTTCCTCTGTGCCTCACCCAGGGTGTGGCAGATGTTCACCTTATAGGCTGGGATGCCCCTAGCCAGGGCAAATGGCAAGGGACAGTGGCCAGGCTGAGGGACAGCAGAGGCGAGACATCTGCAGGGTGATCAGCCGCTTGGCTGGAGGGAAGGCCTCGGCTCCTCTAGAAGAGCCAGGGGCAGCTGGAAGACCAGATGCATGTTTGTGGCTTGACTGAAGAAACCTTGAAAATCAGGCTTTTGGTTTTTGTTTCTGGTTTTTATGGAGACTTTATTTTTTAGAGTAGTTTTAGGAAAACTAAGCTTTTGGCACAAAGAGATCAGCACTGGGGCAGCGCCTTCACTGTCGAGAGCACCGGAGCAAGAACTTGAAGCACGATGTGGTTTTTCGAGACTTCTTTTGTTACGGAAAGTTTTAAGAATTTTCCACTTTATTTTGGAGCTAGAACTTTTCCTTCTGAGCTAGCAAATACATTCCAGTATCAAAAAGGGAGCTGGTTTAAAGGGAGTGGGGACAGTAAGGTGATGTGTAAATGCTCCTAAATAATGGAGGAAGGCACTGGGATGGCTGACATTTGGGGAACCGCACTCACCTAACTCTGGGTCTGGCTGCATCTGGCAGCTGGGGGCCATTGGGGTACCTGGGTTCTCTGCTCTCTTGAGGCCTGGCTTTCCTCGCTTCTGAGCAGCTGCTCCGTCCTCCCATGCAGGTGACGCACTGGCACAGCCCCTACTTCTTTGCCTACTTCCCCACGGCCAGCTCATACCCGGCCATGCTCGCGGACATGCTGTGCGGGGCCATTGGCTGCATCGGCTTCTCCTGGGTGAGTGTCCGGATGCACCTGGGGAAGGGGTCCTGGCTATGGTGGGATCCCGGGGTGGGGACACAGTACCTTTGCACATAGGACCTGAGCAGATGGCAGTGCCGTCTGTGGGCAGACGGGCCACTGTTGCAGGGAGGAGAAAGGATTCAGCCCAGAGAGGGTGCCTCTGAGGGAGTAGTGATTCAGAACGGAGAAAGTCTCAACAACTCAAAGCCCATTCTGCGCAGGCTGTGTTGGAAGCACTTGGTATGAACTAACATCACGGTCTGGGGCCCAGAGTTTCTGCAGCTCCAGCCTGGGAATCTGCATTTCCCCAAGCAGCTCAGAGAATTTCTATATCCTCCAAAGCTTGAAAACCACTACTGCCCCTGTCCCATTCCATCTGTTCTCCGCCCGGTCTGCTGCCCAGGGAGAGGCTCCAACCAGCCCATCAGATGTGTCCAGAGACTTGGAGCAGGAGGACTCTGGAAAAGGGCCTAGCTCCTGCCTGCCCACCACCGTCCTGCCCTATCTGGAGGTCAAATGCCTAAAAAAGTCCCTGTTCAGAAGAACGGCAGGCAGGGCTGGCTCTACCCATGGCTGTCTGCTCCAGGCACAGATTACAGGAAAGATGCCTTCCTCCCAAATGCGGAGAGCTTGGAGTTAGAGCTGCCTGCTGATGGCCAGTGTCTGAGGGCTGCTGCACCCTGCGGAGTTCCTCAAAAGCCAGGGGCTGTCCTTGGCCTTTGGGGTACAGAGTGCTCATCTTGTCTGTGTCTTGGAGCCAGGTGGACTTCTGGACATCGGTCTATGTGGCATGCTGTGATGCGTAAAGGAGCTGTCAATTAGGAATTTGCAACACTGTGCCACAGGACACAGCTGAGCCACCTCTGCTTCACCAGCCTGGCGCTTGCTCTTCTTTGGGCTGGGGCACTGGGAGTTGCCGGGTGAACAGGCATCATGGGCCCCAAAGGCAGGGCTGAAGAGCCCATCTGTGGGCTCTTCAGTGTCTGTGCCAGTGTCTGTGCTGCTTCTCTGCCAGTCACCAGGACCTCCCTCTCTGCTGGGCAGGGCTGGCCTGGGCCAGCCAGTGTGGCCTGGGCTGAGCACACCCTCTCCTAAAGAGCATTTTCTATCACTGGATGCTGTAGCAGATTTCATTTAGCTGTGCTGGTCCAAATCCATTCTGCCCTGCAGAGGTACTTGTCATCCATCTCTATCTGCTCATTCTGGGACAGTCTGATTGCCCTCAGGCCTTGAAGGGGGTGCCTCGCTGTCTGTCAGGCTGTGTTGCCTGATACCTGGTACCTAGCAGAGAGCATAGGCTCCTGGTAGAGCTGGGCTTGGCCAGGCTCAGGTAGAACCCAGCAGGATGGGGCTGACCAGAAGGGAGAATGCACTCTTCTAACTTAGATCTTACTGGTGACGTATCAGGATGCTGCTGTGCACATCTAGGCACGAGAGCACCTTGGACCCCTTATGTTGGAGACCTTTATGAAGGTGGAGGCTCAATCCGCCTTTGGATGGGGTCCAAGACCAGCCTGTTCAGAGAGAGAGGAGAGTTCACAGAGAAAAGTCACTGGGAGTTTAAAAGACAAGATCAATGGCTTCTCGGGATGCCCAGAGGGTGACAGCTGCCCGGCGCCCACTTCCTCATTCCCTTCACTTGTGACTATGGAGGAGAGTCCACCAGCGGGCTTTCTGGACCCTTCTGTAAATGAACAAATGAATATACTAGCAAGCCCGCAGTGCCCATGCAGTGAGGCTCAGTGGAGTAAGGTTCACTATGGTGGCCCGTGTGTTCCTTCCCAATCACTCTCCTTGCATGAGTCTAGGTCAAACAGGCTTCAGGCCTTTGAATCACATCTGAGATTGGGTGACTTTAATCTGGGCTTTAGTGGAAGGCTAAATCCCCCCTTGTTACTGCTGCTCCCCAAATTCTGCAATGCCTGGCCCTTGGTTAATCCCTTCCCTCCCCCAACCACAGGCAGCAAGCCCAGCATGCACAGAGCTGGAGACCGTGATGATGGACTGGCTCGGGAAGATGCTGGAGCTGCCAAAGGCATTTTTGACTGAAAAAGCCGGGGAAGGAGGAGGAGTGATCCAGGTAAGGTGGGAGCTGTTTTGGGATACATGGGCTCTGCACAGGACCATAGCTGCAGGTGGGGAAAGAGGCGCTCATGCTTCTTGTTAGGTCCTCACATTTCTCCTGGAGAATAAACAAAACCGAGCTCTTAGGAAATCGCTGGTCTTGGGATTGGCAGGATTTGGATTAGGATCCCAGTGCTGTCTTTCACTCGTTTCCCCAGGGCAGGGCACTCAGTTCTCAGGCCTCTAGCTATGGTAGATAGCACAGCAGCTATCTAACAGCAGGTGCATGGAAATAACAACTACAGTGACTACCATTTGTGTGGGGCTCCCCATCGCCGGCCACAGTGCCTAAGCATTTTCCAGGCATTAACTCATTTAATTCTCACAACAACACTATGAATTTTAAAACCTCCCTTTACAAGTGAAGAAACATTTTAATAGCCCATTTTACAGGGGAGGAAACTGGGACCCAGAACATTAGGTAGCTTGCCCCATGGCTCCCAGTTGGTAAGTTATAGACCCTGTATCTGTGTGGCTGTGATCTTCCTTGGAGGACAGCACAGGTGGCAGCTGTGACCAGGCTTCAGAGGCTATAAATGCTACTTGTCTTTGAACCAATCATTTACTTAAAGATGCTGCTGCTTCTATGCAGCAACTTAATTCATTCTCTTCCTGTAACATGTGTCTGTTGACAGTGACTGTGTGTCAGAGCTTACACCAGGAAACAAGATAGACAAAAGACAATCATGATGGAATTTCTATTCCACTGGGGTTGCAGGACAAATGGCACTGGGATTACTTGGACTTGATGCATTTAAAAAAAAAAAGAAAGAAAGAAAAAGAAAAAAAAAACCTCCTAGCATGAACTATGTTGAACCCAGTACTCTCCCTTAATCATTTTTCTCATGTCAAGTAGATGATAGTCTCATTAGGAAAGCATTGTTAACTTTGGAAAAAAGGGGCTTCCTTTTCAGATATTGTCTTCCGCAAGGCTTTGAGAATTGGTGAAGGCCCATTCAGTGGGTGAGAACAGTGAGGCACATAGTGGAGAACACCTTTGTGCAAAGCACATGGCCAGTGTGGCCACGCGAAACTAGCAAGTCTCCCCACTTCCAGTCCTGAGAATGTGCAACAAGACTGATAATTTTATGTATTTGTTTCTATTGATGTTGTGACAAATTTTAGTGGCTCAAAACAGGACAAACTGAGTATCTTACAGTCCTGTATGTCAGAAGTCTGACCTGGGTCTTACTGGGCTAAAACCAAAGTTGACACCTTGGAGGCTTCAGGGGCGAATCTGTTTCCTTGCCTCTTCTGACTTCTAGATGCTTCCAAAATTCCTTGGCTCACAGCCCCATTTCCGTTTTCAAAGCCAGCTGTGTCCCATCTTTCTGACCTTTCTTTTGTAAACCCCAAATATCTGAGATGGGTCTCAATCAACTTAGAGAGTTTATTTTGCCAAAGTGAAGGATGCGTGCCCATGACACAGCCTCAAGAAATCCTGATGACATGTGCCCAAGGTGGTTGGGCACAGCTTGGTTTTATACATTTGAGGGGCACATGAGATGTAAGATGTACATTGGTTTGGTCTGGAAAGGTGGGACAATTCGAAGCATGAAGGGGGCTTTCGTGTCATAGGTAGATAGATAAGAGACGGTCGGTTGAATTCTTTTGAGTTTCTGATTAGCCTTTCCAAAGGAGGCAATCAGATGTGCAGCTATCTCAGTGGGCAGAGGGGTGACTTTGAGTTTTGTCTGTCCTTCATCCAAGAGGAAATTCCTTGTGAGGGAGGCAGGTAGTTTTTTATCTTAGTAGCTATCTCTTTTAGGAATAGAATGGGAGGCAGGTTTGGCCTAAGCAGTTCCCAGCTTGACTTTCCCCTTTGGCTTAGTGATTTGGGGATCCGAAGATTTATTTTCCTTTCACACTTTCATGGTCGCATCTCCTTCTAACCACATAAAAGATAAGAAAGTGGGTCTCCACTTTTAAGGACACATGTGATTGGATTGGGTCCATCCAGACAATCTGAGATAATCTCTCAAGTCAAAGTTCTTAATCACATCAGAAAAGTCACCTTTTCCTTGGAAGGTAAACAGTCACAGATTTTGGGGACCAAGACCTGGAATCTCTGGGAATGAGGATGCATTAATCTGCCTACTACATCCAGTGTGCTTCAGAGTCATGGAGGGAACTTGCTTATAATGCCTATTCCTAGACTCTGGGCCAAAACATGAACGCTAATTCACCTGGATGACACCGAGATCCCTGAACAGGCCACATGCCGAGACTGATGACTGCCTTCTCCGTGACCCACAGGCCCTGTGGCCAGGCTCAGAGCCATCCCTCCATGTGCTCCTCCTTCGCATTCTTTGGTTATCTCACTTTCCATCAGACATAAGTGATATTAAATGGGAAGCTGATGAAAATGAAACGTCAGGCACAGTGGCTTACGTTGTAATGCCAGCACTTTGGGAGGCCAAGGCAGGCAGATCACTTGAGGTCAGGAGTCTGAGACCAGCCTGGCCAACATGGTGAAACCTTGTCTCTACTAAAAATATAAAAATTATCCGGGCATGGTGGCGGGCACCTGTAATCCCAGCTACTTGGGAGGAGAATTGCTTGAACCTGGGAGGCAGAGGTTGCAGTGAGCCAAGACCTCACCATTGTACTCCAGCCTGGGTGACAAGAGGGAAACTCCATCTCAAAAAAAAGAAAAAAAAAAAAAAGAAAAAAAGAAAAGAAAAGAAAAAAAAGAGAAAAAACGTCAGCTATGTTGTAAGCAAAGCTTCAATACGTTGCTGTGAACTATACCATTCTACGTAGCAGCAACAATGACTCAGCAATGATTCGGCAAATGCAACATGCTTCAGTCCCAGCACAATTTTCTTCTTGTCAGTGGGTATGCAGCTGAAGAAGCCTCCTTGGCCAAGATGACAGCAAAGATAGGCTGTCACAGGTGCCCTTCCAGCGAGGGGAAGGAACTACTGCACGCGGCCCTCAGCCGATGCTCTGTCAGCTGCACTTTGCCTTGGTGAGGGCCAGATGGCTGTCTAGCCTCTGGAACATCAGTCCTGATTCTCCAGGGGACAGAGGGCAGCAGCAGTCAGGGACCCAGTGGGACAGCCACGAGAGAGAGCGTGGTTTTGATTCCAGGCAAGGGCATGCATAGTCTAACCGTTTACAGGAGGCCTGGATGTTGGTGGCTGACTTACTTTTTCTTTTAGTTTTATACATGGGCCAAGATCTACTTTTCCATTTCTTTTCCATTTGTTCCCCTCATCTTTTTCTTTGTTTTGTTTTGTTTTGTTTTTAGACAAAGTCTCATTCTTGTCACCCAGGCTGGAGTGCAGTGGCACGATCTCAGCTCACTGCAACTTCTGTCTCCTGGTTCAAGTGATTCTCCTGCCTCAGCCTCCCAAGAAGCTGGGATTACAGGTGCCCACCACCATGCCTGGATAATTTTTGTATTTGTAGTAGAGATGGGGTTTTGCCATTTTGCCAGGCTGGTCTCAAACTCCTGACCTCAGGTGATCCACCCACCTCAGCCTCCAAAAGTGCTAGGATTACAGGCGTGAGCTGTAGGAGATCAGTCAGAGTGGTGGGAGAAACTATAAGGAAAAGAAGCAGGCCTTCTGAAAGGTCAGAAGTTTCGGCAAAGCTCCAGGGGAGAATAGCTGAAGCAGCTGTTCTACAGCCCTGAGGCAGAGGGCAAGGAGTAGGTACAAGGGCGTGTAGAGGAATTTATCTTGGTCAAGCTCGTTTGTTAGAAGTTGTCCAGGAACTGACCTTGGAACATCCTCACACGTGACACTCCCTGAAAAGGGAACAATAAATGTTAATTATCTACAGGTTGTTTTTGCTCCAGGTTTTCAGAATTGTGCTTGCACTCAATAAAAGCAAGCTTCTCCAGCTTCTCGGGGCTGCTCTCTGGCCACTAGAGCCAGGCAGTCACCTAGCTACTCTTACACTGCATACCTGTGTCTGAGCACTCATTTCATCTATTGGCCAGGGTCTACAGGACAGACCCAGCAGTGAGCCACTGCACCCAGTCTGTTCCCCTCATTTTGACCCTCCCTAGCATTTGGTGAGCCCTGCTGATCCTTGCAGGACTCAGCTTTACACAGTGCAGATATTTTTCTTCTACTGTATGTTAGTTATTGTGGGCTACGTCACTCTTTTTCAGGGGCTTCAATTTTCCACAGATTGGGTACCTCTTCCATGATTTCTCTCTTTCTTTTGATATTTCCCTTTTTTGTCATCTTCTATAGTTTTGGGAAGCTTTTCATGGTTTTCTCCACATGATTATGTAATTACGGACCTGGTGCGTGTCTCATGCCTGTAATCCCAACACTTTGGGAAGCCGAGGCAGGTGGATTATTTGAGGTCAGCAGTTTAAGACCAGCCTGGCCAACATGGTGAAACCACATCTCTACTAAAAATACAAAAATTAGCCAGGCGTGGTGGCATGTGCCTGTAATCCCAGCTACTTGGGAGGCTGAGGCAGGAGAATCATTTGAACCCAGGAGGTGGAGGTTGAGGTAACTGAGATCGCGCCACTGCACTCCAGTCTGGGTGACAGAGTGAGACCCTGTCTCAAAAAAAAAAAAAAAAAAAAGAAAAAAAGATTGTCCCCTTTCCACCTAGACACTGGACATTCATGGTAAAAATGAAAAGACACAGGAGCTTTCTTGTCATATTCCCTGTGTTATTTCAGTATCTACATGTGAATATATGTACACAAACAAAATTGAAATGATACAACATGTATGGATTTTCTACATGGTGCTTTCCTTATCATTTTATTGTGAGCATTTCCCACTATTTAAATATTCTTTGAAAAATGTATTACCCCATGATTTTCTATGATGCGTCACAATCTATATAAGTAATACCTAAAATATTTGTGTTGCATCAAATTTTTCATTCTTATAAAAACTTTTGGAGGACACCCTTTAGGATGAAGTGCAACAATCTTCCAAGATGATCAGCTTCCTCCTGGGGCTCTCCTGGCTGTGTTCGTTGTTTAACATTCACACTCCCCACTAAATCAAAACGGAACAAAACAAAAATTGAAGCATTTCTAGGTCATTGTATTTTATAACAAGAACAGTTTCATATTCAATTTTTTTTTTCAGCAGCCCAAAGTGATTTCTCTAATTACATACCCCTCAAAAAAATCTTATCAATCCCCCATAATATAAGGTGTGTCTATTATAATAATAGCTACTTTTCATTGAATAGCAATTATGAGCTTGGCTATGTTTTAGCCTATGTCTTGTGCTTTGTGTTATTGTCTTCATCCTCAAAATATTTATGAAGATTGATTGCATTATGGACAATCTTTTTCATGGATGATGATATTGAGGCCCAGAAAGTTAGTAGAATATGCATAGCAGCAAAAGCGAATTAAAGCAAGGCTAGTAGGAAAGACAACCAGAGTTATGACTGTTCGTCCCTGACCATAGGCTTGGGTTGGTGTCCAGAGATGTGCATGCTACTGTGGGCTGCATTTTCATTTCATTAAAGACAATCTCGTTTTTGAGAGACCATACAAGTTCTTAGCATTTGGGTAGGAATATTCCTGGTATTTCTCAGCCCCCACTTTAACATAATCTTCCTGTGAGCCCAATCCACTCAGTTTTTTTCTGGATGAAAGCAAGAAATAGAATCTGTGTTTGCCACCGGAAGCTCACCCTTCCCAGCAGACAAAGCTGATTGTCTGTAATTGGTGAGGCCCCAAAGAGCACAGGAGCCTGGTGACAGCCTGTGAGCCAGCCTGCGTTATCGATCCCCTCAGAGCTGTAATCACAGCTGTGGGCGTCAGCGCAGTGATGGGTGTCTGAGTCAAATGATAAACTGTCGTTCTGAGGCTGGACAAATGTGGGCTGCGAAAATGGTCTCTTAATTGGGTTTGAAAGCTCTTGTGGAAGAAAAGCCAATTTTTTGCTTTGAAAAAACCAGAAGACGAAAGGATATTTCTGCTCACGGCATCAGCAGCCGGAAGCGTCAGACCTCACCAGCATCCCCTCCTGCCTCTTGAGCAGGCTTGCCATGGCAACCTTTGTCTGCTGCTATCGCACAGAGCCATCATTCCTGCTCTGTACCACACGTCACCCTCCCTGTGCTTCTCTCTGCAAAGATCTGCTGCCAGCAAAGCGCAGAGAGCTCCACCCGACATCATGCTTGAGGCCACCAGGCCACCCTGGTGGCATCAGGGTGGTGTGGTTCTAGATGTGCTACTGATGATTTGCTCCTTCAGGCTTTTAAAAAATCGTTTTGTTGACTTAAGAAGGTGAATTTTCTCTTAGGACATGAACTAAGCTCCCCCATCCCCCCCCAAAAAAAAGCCATAATGAGTTGTCATGGTGATTCAGGTGATTCATGGTGACTCATTTCATTAGAATGTTCAGAGAATGAACACCTGTGTTCCAAGGCTTCAAGCAGAGGGTAGAATTTAGCCGGGGAAGCGGCAGTCACGCCTGCTTGTCAAGCATGAGAACAGGGAACCGTGCCTTCCACTAGGTTTTTCATGTAACATTTCCAATGAGAATGAGTGGGACATGACAAACGAAATGTGTGTGGGGGCAGATAGGGGACGGGAGGAAGTCAGGGAGAGGAATGATGGGGTGCATGGGAGAAGTGTAAGTAAGGTACAGTGCCTGCTCTCAGGGAGCCTGGGTTTCCTGGGATGGCTGATTTAGCTTTGTCAGCCAATATTGTTTTCCCCACTTCTCTCTCCTCTGGCCAAGTTTGGTAAACCTGGCCTAAAACAATGTCTAAAATCACTGCTCATGAAAATATAGCCTGAAGGAAATAAAGTACCCATTTTAGATGCTGAATTAAGAGAAGCATATATCTGTATATTTGAACCCATCTATTAGTGCTACAGAAACATGAATAAATGTATTTATCTTTCAATATTACTGTCTCTCCAAAGGATGTGGGTTGCTCAAAAGAATAAGTAAAAGTAGTGTCGTGGTAAAATCAAAATGAGAAATCAGGGTCAATGAAGACAGCATCAAATGTTAAGAAGAGAGGTTAGCATTTCTACTTAACTATTTTATTATATATTTCTCTGTAAAAACCTATCATGTTATAAACTTTTTCAGAGTCAATAAGAATCTACCTCCTTTTATTTGCCCTTTCTTATGTCCTTTCATACTGGTCGGTAGATGGGTTTCTTCTAGGACTTACTTAAGAGAGAAGGTGCTCGCCGTCCCTACCTTTCTAGGCCCATGGCACCCTAGAAAGGGCAGGCGTGGGCTCACTCCTAACCGTGCCCTACCTAGCTGCTGATTTGGGGCAAGTTATTGAACCTCTCTGTGCATCTGTTTCCCCACCTAAAGATGTTAAAACACAAACATGGGATTATTTTACAACTTCAATTGGATAACATAGCAGGCACTGAATCCATTAGTTTGCCAGGGCTGCCCTAACAAAATACCACAGACTGGGTAGATTGAAGAATAATTTCTTTACTCACAGTCCTGAAGGCTGCAAGTCCAAAATCAAAGTGTCCACAGGGTTGGTTCTCCTGGGGCCTCTCTCCTGGGCCTGCAGATGGCCACCTTCTCCCTGTGTCCTCACATGGTCTTCCCTCTGTGCACACACATCTCTGGGGGCCAAATTTCCCTTTCTTTTTATTTATTTATTTATTTTAGACTGGGTCTCACTCTGTCACCCAGGCTGGAGTGCAGTGTTGCAATTGTGGCTCACTGTAACCTCCTTCTCCCAGGCTCATCATCCTCCCACCTCAGCCTCTTGAGTAGCTGGGACTACCGGGCACGCCACCATGCCTGGCTAATTTTTGTATTTTTATAGAGACAGGGTTTCGGTATGTTGCCCAGACTCGTCTCGAACTCCTGGGCTCAAGTGATCTACCCTCCTCTGCCTCCAAAGTGCTGGGATTATAGGCAGGTTTCCTCTTGTTATCAGGGACATGTCAGATTGGATTAGAGCCCAGTCATGTGACTTCATTTTCTTTTAATTACCTCTCTAAAGAGCCTTTCTCCAAATATGGTCACATCTGAGGTCCTGGTGGTTAGGGCTTCAATACATGAATTTGGGGGGACACAATTCAGCCCATGTATTTAGGGATCAAAAGAAACCCTTCAAGTCATCTCTTAGTCTCAAGGAAAATGCACCCCCATTTTTTAAACAAATGCAAATCACTCTGTCCAAATGAATATGAATGCAGAGTGGGGCTTGCATGCTGGTGCCCTGGGCCATTCTCCTCCAATGGAGACAGGAGCAGTCCTCCTGGGCCGGGCTGGGATCAGTCCATGAGGAGAAGCTCTCACAATACCTGGTGCAGGAAAGTGGTCAAAATGTTATCTGCTGCTGTTACACAAAATAGACCCACCAATGGCAAACTCATACTAAGAGATGAAGTGGTGGTCTCAGGTGTCAAAAATATTAGTTTTGTCCTAAGCAAAGGAGAGTGAATTTTGCCATTTCAGATTCATATTTTAAGAAAGCTATGAACACAAAACAATATGTCTTCCAATAATGTAGGTACCAATGCCTTCGCTATGTTTTGGATTTCATTTGGACCTTCCCTTGAATTTAGGGAAGTGCCAGCGAAGCCACCCTGGTGGCCCTGCTGGCCGCTCGGACGAAAGCGATCCATCGGCTGCAAGCAGCGTCCCCAGAGCTCACACAGGCCGCTATCATGGAGAAGCTGGTGGCTTACTCATCCGATCAGGTGAGTGTATTGAGTGGGTATCAGCCAAGACTTCAAGACCTGAATGTTTGCTTTTATGTCAAATTCAAACCAAACCAAACCAAACAGCATCCTTCCAAATCTAAGAGCAGTTCCTCAGGTATCACTAGACCTGAACTAAAGGGAAGCGGTGAATTCTTGGGTGGGAACTGGATAGATCAAGCTAAAAAGGAAATAAATGTGTGGAGACATCACCGTGACTGGGTGTGTCACCTTTTCTACCAGTGCAGACTTATGTTGTGATTATCTGGCCTGCCTTCCGAGCATCATTGTAAAGAAACTGGACATGGGGATCAAAGTCCTGGGCCCTAACTGAAGCTTTGTTATTCTGTGATCTCAGGCCCCTGGGTAGGGTCAAGCAGGAGACAGTAGCGGTGGGGGCTGCAGGGCAAAAGGTGGCCAGCTTTCATGAGAATTGTGTTTCCTGAGAATCTCTGAGAGAGGATGGATCTGCCACAGTGGTGATGCCTTTTGGCTGGTTTCTTTCCTCCAGGCACTGTTTACTGAGCCTGGCCACCAAGCTCCCCAAGGCTCCACAGTCAGGGGCAGCGGACAGATTTGAGCCTAGGATTTCTAAGTCCACCTCTGGGATCTGCTTTCCAGGGTCTCGCCGCTTGCTCTTGAATTCAAACAAATGAAAAACTTCATGAATATTGACCCAGCACTCTACCCTTGTTAGTGCCCGATTCTTCAAACTTAAAAGCAAGATTCCACAGGAACAGAAACAACTCCAGGAAAAAAAGCGGTCTCAGGAAGGTGCAGGGCAGAGGGAGGAGTCAAGAGCAGTTCTGCCCCTTGTGCCGTGAGAGGAACCTTGTGTTTGCAATGTTGGCTGCTCTCTGCGGATCCAGGGTCTGGTAATAACTGCATGCACACACCTGTACAAATCCAACTCTTCTGTCTTCCTTCCAGGCACACTCCTCAGTGGAAAGAGCTGGGTTAATTGGTGGAGTGAAATTAAAAGCCATCCCCTCAGATGGCAACTTCGCCATGCGTGCGTCTGCCCTGCAGGAAGCCCTGGAGAGAGACAGAGCGGCTGGCCTGATTCCGTTCTTTGTAAGTTCAGCAGCACTTGTGGCTCCTGGCCAATAAAGTGAAACCCTGTTTCTACTAAAAATACCAAAAAAAATTAGCCGGGCGTGGTGGCGGGCGCCTGTAATCCCAGCTACTCGGGAGGCTGAGACAGGAGAATGGCGTGAACCCGGGAGGCGGAGGTTGCAGTGAGCCGAGATTGCGCCACTGCACTCCAGCCTGGGCGACAGAGCGAGACTCTGTCTCAAAAAACCCAAAAAAACAAAAAAGCAAAAAAACAAAAACAAACAAAAAAAAAAAAAAAAAAAAAGAAAAAAAGAATTAATCTTTGAGAAGCGCTTTTTACCTCCAATTTTTTTTTTTTTTTTTGGTCAATTCAAGTTGCTTCCCGAGTTACTTCCCATGAATAGCTAACGTGTGACTGGGGAAATCATAGCGGGTGTGATTTTTTGTAACATTTTATCCTAATCTGGGAGGTCATGGAAGACTCGGGAGCATAAGCAATCAGTATAATGTGGAAGGACTGACATGGCTCAAAGTTAGCACGCAGAGCAAGATGACAACAAGGTGACATTTTGAAGGATGCAAAAAGAGTCTGCGAGGGGATCAAGGTGTACCTGCCATCTTATCCCAAATGTCTGTCTCTGCCCTCCTGCTCTGCTTTATCTTTCTCCATTGCGTGCATCTCCACAGGCCATACAGATTTGTTTCTATATGTGTTTACTGCTTCCTTCTTCCCAACAGAATGTGCGGGGAGGGAAGGTCTGTTTGAATCCCTGCTCTATCCCTAGCTCCTGAAACAGTGCCTGGCACTGAACAGAAGATCAAGAAATATTTGTCAAATAAATAAAGATTTGGAAGAAAGATCATTCAGGTAGAAAGAAAGATCTCCCTTAAAATTCCCACAATTTCAGTACAATTTGAATAGATTCTATTTAAATGAGGTGAATTTCTTTGAACCTATCGTGTCAATATTAAGACTCATTAGAATACTCTGCCTAGGGAAAAATAAATCTATCAAAACACACTGTTTTAGGTTTCAAGGATGAAAACAATGCAGGAAACAAAAAAAGGTTGAGAAGATTGTATTTTACAAAAATTTCAAAACTCATAAAATAAGAAGACAAATGCTGGCAAGAACTACTTATAGTATATGTTGTAAAGTAAATCTTAAAAAGAAGGCTTACGTATCAATAAAAAAAGGCAACATTCCAGTGGAAAAACATGTGAAATATATGAAGAGTCAGTTTCCTATATAACTACAAAAACCTAAGAAGAACACAAAACCAATTCTGATCCTCCAATAACCAAAGAAATGCAAATTAGTTGCTGAGAAAGGTATGTTAAAATCTCACACTGAGTGTAGATATGTCTATTTCCACTTTTATATCTGTTAAATTGTGTACATATTTTGAAGCATATTAATTTGGTGCATACACATTTAGAATTGTGGTATCTCCCTGGTAAATCATTTATCACTAGGAAGTGCTTTTTATATCTCTAGTAACGCATTTTGTCCTGCAGGCTACTTTGTCTGACATTGCTATAATTACATATATTTTCTATTGGCTAATGTTTGCATGATATAGACATTTTTCATTCTACTTTCAACCTCCCTGTTCATTTATATTTAAGACGTATCCTGTGAAAGCAGCACTGATTGTTGCTATTTAAAAAATTTGTTTTTAAAATCCAGTGTTAGGATGGATATTTATTTTGTTCATTTACACTCAAGGTAGTTATTGATACATTTAAATGTTATCTACTGTCTTACTATTTGTTTTTTATTTGGCCCAACTATTATATGATTGCTTTTCTCTATATTCTTGCTGCTTCTTGGATTAATTATTTCATAGTATTCCATTTTCTTATCTCTGCATTTTCTTATTTCCATTTGGCATCTTTTCCTTTAGTCTGTAGAATTCCCTTTAGAAATTTTTATTGTGAATTTGATACAATGAATTATTTCAGTCTTGTTATTCTGAAAGTGTCTTTATTGTGCCTTCACTCTGGGAAGATATTTTTTCTGGGTATAGAATTCTAGAGTGTTTGGTAGCTAGTTTTATTTTTGGTACTTTGTATAAGTCCATTGAATTCTTTCTTCCTTGATTTCTGTTGAGATGTCAGTTGTACTTTTAATGTTGTGATGATGAAGAACATGTAAAAATATGACCTCCTGTGTTGCCACTGGGAGTGCTGCTTGTTTTTTTGTCTTTGTTTTACTGTGATACAAGGATAATTTTCTTTGTACTTCCTCTTCTTGAATTTCACAGAATTTCCTGAATCTGTAATTTGGTGTCTCTCTTCAGTTTTGGAAAATTCTAACCTATTATCTTCCCAAAGTTTTCCTCTCTTCATTTCCTCTCTCCTCCCATTCTGGGACTCTGATTATGTATATGTTAAATCTTTGTGCTGACTGCCATACATCTCTTACGCCCTTTTACATGTCTCACATTCTTTTTTTTTTTTTTTTTTTTTTTAATCTCCAGGCTTCAGTCAACTTATTTACAACTTACCAATTCTCTCTTTAACTATGCCTAACTGATAAACATGTCATGTTTGTAATTCTAAACATCAAAAAATTTTAACTTATTTTATTTTATTTTTTTGCGACAGAGTCTCATTCTGTCACCCAGGTTGGAGTACAGTGATGCAATCTTGGCTCACTGCAACATCTGCCTCCCAGGTTCAAGCGATTCTCCTACATCAGCCTCCTGAGTAGCTGGGATTACAGTCGTGTACCACCATGCCTGGCTAATTTTTGTATTTCTAGTGGAGACAGGGTCTCATCATGTTGGCCAAGGTGTTCCCGAACTCCTGGTTGCAGGCGATCTGCCTGCCTCAGCCTCCCAAAGTGCTGGGATTACAGGTGTGAGCCACCGTGCCTGACCAACTTTTTATTTTGAAATAATTGTAGATTAATAGAAAATTACAAAGTTAGCACACAGCAACTCTGCGCACTAACCCTTCACCCAATTTCCCCTAATTGTTCCAACTTATATAACTATACTACCATATCAAAGACAGGAGACTGACACTGGTTCATTGTGTGTGTATAGGTCTATGTCATTTATCACAAGTGTGGATTCATGCAGCCACCATGCCAATGAGAATACTGAAATCCTCTAGCACCACAAGGGTCCGCCTCTGCTATTCCCTGATAGTCACTCTAACCCTTCTGATCTCCCACCATCATCAACCGATGGCAATCACTGATACGTTTTCTATCTTCACACTCTTGTCATTTTGAGAATGTTATATAAATGGAATTATACAGTATGTGACATTTCAAGATCAGCTTTTCTCACTCAGCATAATGGCCTTGAGGTCTATCCAAGTTGTTGCGTGTATCAATAGTTTGTTCCTTTTTGTTGCTGCACCGCAGAGATTTGGTACCATATTATCTGTACTACAGTTTGTTAACTCATTCACCTGTTGAGGGGCATTGTAGTTGTTTCTGTATTTTGGCTATTACAAATAATGCATCCAGGAACATTGATTTATAGGTGTTTGGGTGGACAAGTGTTTTCATTTCTCTGGGATAAATGCCTAAGAGTGCAATTCAGGGTCCTATGGCAGTTATTACATTTAATTTTTTTAAAAAAGAAACTGACAAGGTATTTTCCAGAGTGACTGTATTATTTTACATTTCCATTATCAATGCTTGAGAAAATCAGGCTCTTTACATCCTCACCAAGATTTGGTATTGTCACTATTTTTTATTTTATCCATTTTGATAGATCTACATTAATATCTCATCATGGTCCTAATTTGCAGTTCCCTGATAATTACTGAACATCTTTTCATGTGCTTATTCACTATCTGTATGTCCTCCTCAGTGACATGTGTCTTTATGTCTTTTGCCCATTTTCTAATTGGATGATGGATTGATTTTTTAAATTAATAAGCTTAATTTTGTTAGAGTTGTTTTAGGCTTACAGAAAAATAAGCAGGAAGGACATATACCTTCTTATATCCCAACCTTCATTTTCCCCCATTATTAGCATCCTGCAGTAATGTGATACATTTGTTAAAATTGATTCACCAATACCTAACATCCATAATTTACCTTAGGGGTCACTATGTCTATTGAATTTTCTATGTGTTTTAACTAATGTGTCTACCATTTCAGTGTTATAGAGAATAGCTTCACTGCCATAAAAATCCCCTGTGCTCCACCTATTTATCCCTCTCTCCCTCCGCTTGAACTACTGGCAACCACTAATCTTTTTGGCTGTCTCCATCATTTTTTCTTTTTTAGAATGTCATACAGATGGAATCATACAATATGTAGCCTTTTCAGACTGACTGATTTCACTAACATGTATTTAAGTTTCCTCTATGTCTTTTTGTACTAGTTTGTTTCTTTTTATTGTTGAATGCTGTTTTCTGATATGAATGTGCCACAATTCATTTATGCATTTACCTGTTGAAGGACACCTTGGTTGCTTCCAAGTTTTAACAATTATTAATGAAGTGCTATAAGCATTTGTGTGCCAGTTTTTGTGTGTACATACGTTTTCAATTCATTTGGTTAAATACCAAGGAGCACAATTGCTAGATCATATGGTAAGAGTGTGTTTAGTTTTATAAGAAAAGGCTGAACTGTGTTTCAAAGAGGCTGTACCATTTTGCATTCCCACAAACAATGAATGTTAGTGTTGGTTTTTCCGTATCTTTGTCAGCTGTTAATTTTGTCAGTGTTTTTTATTTTATCCATTCCAGTAGCTGTATAGTGGTATCTTATTGTTATTTTACTTGAAAATTCTCTAATTCTCTAATAACATATGATGTTGAGCATCTTTTCATGTACTTATTTGCTACATGAACATCTTCTTTGGTAAGATGTCTGTTCAGGTCTTTTGCTCACTTTTTAATTGGATTGTTTCATTATTATCGTGTTTTAAGAATTCTTTGTGTATTTTGGGTACCAATCCTTTATGAAGATACATGTTTTGCAAATGTTTTCTACCAGTCTTTAGCTTGTCATTTCGTCCTTTAAACAGTGTCTTTTGCAGAGCAGA